GTTCCTTAAACCGTCTATCAGCTTTTCATCCAAGAGACTGTCAATCAAACAGCAGGCTCTGGAGATTATCTTACCATCTCTCCAGCAAGGTGTTTTGTATAGATGTCTTGCTGGTGGGTTTTTATGCAAGTAGCTTCATTTACTACCACCAGAACTGCTTCACTAAAAGACTATAGAACAGAACCTTTTGTTTTGCATGGGAGCCACCTCTCTAGGGTTGCAGTATTAAGATTTCCTCCCCTTTCTTACCTAAAAGAAAATTAAAAGCTAATTCCTCCTTAAAAAGAAATATAAATTAAATGACTTTTCTTTGAGCCCACTTGTGTCTGTTACAGACACAACTTTCCAAATCTTACCTGCACCACTGCAGATAGCTGTTTTCCTTGCCCTACTGATGCTAGAAACATACTTAAGAGAAACTGCCGAAGACTTCCTATTCTAAGGCTCAGTCCTGGCATAAAAACACACACAGCCCTACAACATGCTCATGCCACCAGCAATGAAAAGTTAATGCAGCCATCCACCAACCCACACTCACACAAAATTATTTTTCTTCTTTGGGGAGAATCATAGTAACGAGCATCTTCTGCTCTGCACCTCTGCATAGAAACCAATGCATGCGAGAATGCTGACTTCAGACATGAAGCATTCATAGCAACACTCAATGTTGATTCCAGAAGGCTCACAGGAATCCTCTCTTCCCACCTCCTCACAGCACAAGCCAGAAAATTCTCCCCATGATTCCTGCATCTGAGCCCAAAGCACCTGCACAGCCACATTTCACTGCACTGAAGGAGTCACCCACTTATTCTGATTGTTAACTATCATTATGAATCATTTTAACATCAAACTGTCATGGACTGTACTGGCCTGCTACACTGAAGAGCCATCAAGTTCTGTGTTTACTCCAGTGAAAGTAACTCACTTTAATTGTCATCTCACTACTGAAGAGCTCATTTGTTTTCTCATGTGGGCCTCCCATGCTTTTTCAAACACAATGGATACTATAATGGTTTTGGCTTGTTCTGTTTTGTTTTTTTTTTATAGAAACACTTTATTGCTGCAGTCAATAACCCTGTGTATCACACAAATAACCAATTACAGTTTAAGAAACTAAAAATAATTCTGCAAGTGGTAATACTGAGAAAACATACATGAGAGGATACAAAACTATACATTTAAGTTACCAGAAATTTAGTAACTAAAAAATTCTGCAGAAGTGTGAAGTGTCCTGTATAAACTATACAACACATGCCAGTGTAAAGTTGTTTAACGTTATACAATTACCTATCTACAAATGTTTTACCTAAATACAAGATCAGCTGCAATTTTCAAACAGTTATCTTCTATACAAAGACAAGTGTTTTCAGTACTTCATTGGAATATACACACACTGCAATATCTCAAATCTAAAAGATAATCCCAAAATAAAAGGTCCCGCTTACATGATTTCTTTGTGTATCTAACATAATGCTGTGAAAATCCAGCCAGCAATACTCTTGCTCCTGTAGTTGCCCTGTGTCACTCATATTTGAGAGGGAACCAACCTAGAGTCACTGACCTCCCTTTCATTGCTGGCTAGTCTCTCCACAGCAGACTATACCAGAAATCTGTATCTTCACACGCTTCAGCTTGGGAGAAATCTGTATCCCACTTTGCAATAGATAATTATCCAGCCAAATACAGGCCAGAAGCAACCTGCTCCCACCATGTGGCCATATCCACGCATCACTTCAAAGGTTTTTGAAGAGCAACACACCAAACAGACCCCACCTTATAGCACTGCCACAAGTAGGACTGATGCTCTAACACAGTACAGGGGATTGGCAGAAGTAGGTTTGGACAGGGAGTTACTATTGCTTCCCAGGATTTCTCAGGTACAACACAGCGGCCCAGCACTTCTCTAACTCCTTGCAGGCACAGTGTAACCTTTGTTGAATCCCTCCTACTGAAACAAAGCCAATCTCAATGACATTCAGCCACAGGAAGCTGTCCCCAGGTCTGGCCATCTCTTCAGAACACAGGGCAACATTTTACACACCATGACCACTTCCAAAATACAGGGTTACAGTTGAAGAAAGTCCTGAGAATTCATCGGAATTTAACATCTCATGATCTCTTAAATGGGATCAACTTTCTGCAGCACACACCTGTATCATAATGCATGTTCATGACGTGAGAGATACACCAAATATGATACGGTGGGGAAATTTCCTTGGCACAGGCAGCGCTTTTTTGGACAGGATTTAAATCAACAGAATGGATGACTGGTCAGATGTCTGCGGCATGGGATGTAGCATCTGGCAGTCTAGGGAGAGGATCGTGGTAGACGGTATTAAGCTTGCATTTCATCCTACTTAAATTTTTGTCTCAGAAAAAAATCAGGTAACCTGAACTGACTTCGGCCAAGGAACAAGGACCAAAAGAAGTCAGACTTCTATTTCAGTCATTTCAAAAGCTACCAGAAGGAAGTGTTGGAAAGCCTGAACTGACAAAGGGTCGTCATTCCCCTTACTGACATCTGAGTGGGAAGGACAGAGCTCACCTGAGCTAGCATCAGTGCCTCACAGCTGGAAGCTGAAAACAACAGCATCTCCTTGAGGAGAAAGAAGGAAAAAGCACCATTCAGCCTTCTCACAGCATTTCATGGCACCATGCAGCAGAAATTACAGCTCAAAAGCCTACTGCTAACACCAAGCAAGAATCAGCATGAGAAGTGTGACCAGCATTAATGAAACCCCCTGACAGATGGATCTTCTGCAGCTCTTCCTGGCATGAGCATTCCTAAGCACTAAGTTTAAACATTACGCTTTTATTTTTGTTCAGGAAAGACCTGTGAGGAGATGGATTGGTAAGTAAGCAGCAACAATTTCATCCACAAATATTTTCCTCCAGATGATTTTGCCGGAGATGATTTTTCTTCCCAAGATACACAGGGGCACAGCAAAAACCTTCAGTATCCTGAATACACTGAACACTACCTGGCATGTGCCACATGGAGCTTCCAAAACACCAAATGATATTTCACAATGTTTCACCAAGGATCACATCTGACGATGATGGATGAAGGACCAGTGTGTTACAGTATGCCTTACTGGCACTTGTCAGAACATCGGTCAGATACTAGTGCCTCTTAGGTATGAGCTGGAGAACAGGTTTCATACCAAAACATGACCATTTTCATTTCACCTACTGGCCACAGATTGGATGAGGATGCACACAGCATCAGCTGGCAGATGATTCTTTGCATCTTGCAGTTGTAAAGTGAGCATCTTGCAGACAGGTAAGCCTTGTGCACTCAGGCATTTCAGAAGAACACAAGGAAGGTGTGCAAGACCCGATACTTAACCACCTGAGTTTATCTAGTAAATCTTTTCACAGAACAAAATAGAAAACAAAACAAGACAGCATATTATCTGGGTTCTCGTAATAGAAGAGGATGACCCACAGCAGAGTTCAGGAAAGGGCCTGAGTAATTGCACTTTAAATTACGGTAGGCATAGGCAAAAAGCTCTACATGTGCATGATCATGAAGACTGCCATCCTGATAGTAGCAGGGTATGCAGGGTTTGTCTGCCTTTATCATGTAAGCATGGGACGTCCTGACACCCAGCACAGTACGCAAACCCATGCCACTGCAGCTTTTGCTAGGACTGCCTAAAGGTCTTGGTATTTACAAATACCTCTAGAACAAGGTACCATGTTGTTCATGATGATCACAGGCAGTAAGCTTCAAGCACGAGATCACACAGAGGCACGCTTTTCCTGTATCAGTTCTTAGAAACCAATGGTGTGTGTTCTCTTTCCATAGTCCCTTCTCTGCCTTCCTTTAACATAGTAATTTAGAAATAAATTAATATTCCATTTTAAGGAAAAAAATCACCAATCTCTTACTGTTGTTCTTGGGGAAGTCTTAAAACAACTACTTTTATTATGTAAAGAACTTGTCCAATGAAAGTTGTACTTGAAAAAAGACTACGTAAAATCTGAACAAGAGCTGAGGATTCAATTCAGTGTCTCAAGTAAACAGAAGCTTTTACCTAACTAAGCCCAGGCAGTTCCTACTAAGACCAACCAGAAGATTATCAATGACTTTAGAGAAATTTGGATGTGGCTCAGGTAAGGAAAGTCAGCTTCTTCTCAGGTAAGGAAAGTCAGCTGATTTTTCATGGGGCTTTGTTTTTGCTCTAGTCACACTGAGACTTTGGTTGAATGAGGGCTTGAGGCTGGACGGTGGTTCACTGAAGCAGACTGGTCAAGCAAATTAACAGCAGACACCCCAGGCTTCAGGCAACTCTGTCTAAAGCCCTGCAAACAGATTTTAAAGCTGTCCCTCTCTTTTCATTAAGGCTGACTGATTAAAAAGCCAGTCCCAAATTCAAACGCACAGACAAAACTATTCTCTGACCATGTACTGCATTACATCAGGACTAAAACCAGGCAGGCATTTTTAAACTCATCCACTTGATGCAGTATTTACTTCCTAGACTTTGATCTCAGCATCCCCTCTGACAATATCAAATTCTTGGGTAATTCACACGTGACACAGTACTGAAGAGGGAAAACCAATCTCAGCTGTACTGACTATCTTTTTTTTTCTGTAACAGCTCACATTTTTGTCAATGTAGCAACAAACCCTTTGCCAACGGTTTGGAATGAGTTACTTCAGGTATGTATGTGCAGGTGTGTTGATGATCTGACTTGTTGAAAAAACAAAAAAACAGAACCAATTCCCAAAACAGAGCACTGAAACAGTTACGCATTGAAAACAAATGCTGTACGTATCCACTACTCCCCATACACAAGTGCAATATCCTTTGAAAAAAACTGCTCCTCAAAGGAAACCCAAAGAAGCAGAGTTTTTTAGTGTTACGTTTAGTAAGATAATGTGGGCATGTGTTGGAAATCACAGGTTGGATTTTTTTTTAATTTTCCTTTTTTTGTGTGTAAGGCAAGATGTTTACTTTCCAGAAGAAAACATGGGGTAAAGAATGAAGAAATGTTTCAAAAATGATACATTCGTTCAAGTTTCATTCTCATTTGACATACATATTACAAAATAAAGATTTTTAAAAGTGCTATATGCTTTGTAAGTCTCATCACAATATGTAAAGCAAAATTTTACACCTGCTGCCTAAGACAAAATGTTAGTGGCAGTGTTAGTGGTAGATTAGACTCTAGCTCTCTCATTTCCCTCAGTGTCTGGGACAACCTCCTTCATCATGCTTAAAGAATAACAAACAAACCCCACTCTACACATATTCCAGAATCAGAGTCATCTTCTAAAGTAACACTCTATGAAGTTGAAGACAGTTCACTAGTGACTTGCTTGATATCAACCCAACGCTCATTCTACCCAGTATCCTGTGGCTCTGATACGCCAGTACGAGAGACAAAATGTTGAGAGGTATGCAACCATGATCACATTGACAGATATGCCAAAGGGATTTAAAAATATTCCAACAAAAAACAAATGTAAAAAAACCTCATCCACCAGATCTCAGCTGTTAGCTGATTTTAAAAAGGTAGAGCAGTTTGCAGTAAACAATGGTATTTTAAATCTTCAAGAACATACAGAAACACCCCTCCCACCCAGCAATCAGACGTGAAGGATTTCTGCAGCACAGTCTTCTGGCTCTGTGTAATGTGAAGAGTTTGTGTCTGAATGGTGAACCCCAAGCATTTCTTTACTTTCGAAGTTTGGCTCCATTAGTGCAGGTTTTTCAAAAATATTCTTTTTGCTAGTTTCTGGACAGTTTTGTACATATATTACTCGGTTATAAGCTTTAAGTCTCTTCCATAGCTGTACGTACACTTTGCACTGTACATACATGAAAAGAAGTCCTCCAGTGAAACCAATAGCCACAACCACCAGCTTAGTCCAAAATGGCCACTCTAGAATCCCTGGAACAAAGAAAATTAAAAAAGAAGAAAGAAAAAGGACATGGTCATTATTGGATGGACTACACGGCATTTCTCAGAAACATCCTGTAAGAAAACTGTCAGAGTTTGTTCTACACAAGCTATTTTTATTTTGCCATTTTTCTTGTTTGGCCTTCCCCTCCCTCCTTCAATTCAAACACACACAGACTTCTACTTCATGTATCACATGTATTTTCACCCACCAGAGGAAAAAGAAACAGAACAACTGAGTCTCTGTGTCTGAGCTCTTGTGCAGCACAATCACAAGCAGAGTCAAGGCAACAGCCAGTAATATTTAGGTATTTTAACACCTGTTTTTAAACAAAAATTGGATCAGATGATGAAAAGAGTTCTGTGGCATGGTTTCTGTTTCATTGCAGCAGGCTCAACTCAGAGAACCAAGAAGTCGGTTCCACTACGTGATCACACAGTACGTGGAGTCACAGACTTTAAGTTCAAAAGGGAATGGCTGTTATCATCTAGCTTGATATCTTTGTTATGCAGACCAGACAATTTTATCTGCATCAGACCCAGTAACTTGCAGTTGAACTAAAGCATCTAGTGTTAGAAATGCTGAAGCATTCTGGCAAGTTTACCCTCCATCATTAAAACTGACCATCACTACTTTTCCTAAGGTTGTCCAACTTGAACTTTTAGACATTGAATCCTGTTACATCTCTATCAACTACTTCTAAATGACAGACTATTCATGTTATACATCATCTGCTTACATAAGTCCTGTATCCACCCAGCCCCTCTCCTCTTTAAAGGTAGGCGGCACCACAAGATGGATATGAAAGCATGCTGAATTACCCACTATCAGGTTTCTCAGAGAATAAAATCAAGTCTTCAAAGTTTTGACCATGATATAGGCCAGTGCTCTTTTGGAAATGCATGGCAGCATGGGGGGGAATGAAAATATTTTAGTCCCAAAATACAAAAGGCACTGCAGCATGACTACTTTCAAAATCCCACCCATGATTAATACCTGAATCTCTGATTCACAGGTGAGCTATCTGATGTCATCTGTAGGCAGTGATAGTATATGCTTGCTCCTGGGCAGACATGAATGTATACCCACACACACTCCACACACCCCTGAGCTCATTACAGCATCCTAGAGATTTAGAATCCAAATGAAGAGAGCAAAGAAAGCACTAGTACATACTATATATTCACCCTATTCCTTCTACTGATGTTCATCTAACATATTTATTGGCTGAAATAACATGGAGATAACAAATCTTTGAAAGTATATGCTTTTCATTATTATACGGAAACCTTACATTGAAAGGCCAAAAATTTTCACTGCGCATGAAAGCGATGGGGTTGGATAGAACAGAAACTAAAAGATTTCATTCAAAGCAGATTCCTGACTGAAGTCACAAGCTATCAAACTACAGCCCAAATGAGACATGACAGCAAAAATGTTCAGTCTGAAGTACTATTCTGCTGTGAAGAGACTGTAACAGCTCTGTGGATTTGCAGGTTTATTGATGCTCAACTACCTCCCCAGATGATGCTCTTCAATCACCAATAAAACATGTTCTACCTGCATGTCTAGTTGGGATGCAATACTCTGCAAGCAAGAGCAGCTTGCCTCTTAATGGCTCCCAGCCTTGGCAGATAACCTGTCCCTTCTATCCCCACCTTCAGGAACAGCTCAGCTGCCTGAGTAGTTCTGCAACAGCTGCAAACCTGTAGCCCGGCATACCCAGGTAAACAGATTGCAGATTGGCAAGTTTACACCTGGTGTGCTACAGAATGCCTGATATTCAGTAAGTTAATATATGAGTGCACTGTGGTGGCAAACATGCCATGAACTGCAGTGCACCCGACTTCAGTTGTGTGAATTTGAGTCCTAAGAATCACCCTGAATTTCTTCTGCTTCAGGCACAACCACTCACAAAAAATTTCTCCAGTCTAACATGGCAGTCACAAGAAACTTGTACTAACCCACCTCACAGATGACCAACTAGGAAGAAAACCCTGATGATTAAGCTCAAAGATTTTGATTTAGGTCCTTCTTAATTCTTCTCTATTTGAAAACTCTTCTGGTTTTGCCCAGTTAAAAGGTAGCCATAGCAGCAAACAAATACTTACTTCCTTATCTGCCCAGTACAAGTTCCAATTTAAACTAAATCAGCTAAGGCAGTGCAATTTTGTGTCTGGCTACAGTGGATTAGTTCTCATATCTGTGCATGTCACAAACGCAGACTAAATTGACTTGAAATAGACTTAAAAAGCACCCACAGATTAATTTATACTGATTTCACTAAATCATTTTAGAACCATCCTTTAAAACTAACCTAACCTCAGGCTAAAGCTGACTATTCTCATTTAAACACTACCTGCACTCTCATGCTCCTCGTCCTCTCTGCGTTCAGAATAACTAATTATTCCAAAAGAGTAAGAGGGAAGATAAGAAAGTAACATACCAGTAGTCTGTCCCTGTTTAATCTCTTCAGCAGTCCTGTCTATCAGGACATAGAGAGACCACACAACACAGGTGATGGCAATGACATGGAATGTTACAGAGCACATGATCTTCCTCCTTTCACTGGCTGTCATCTGCAGCTTCTCCCACTGGCAAGGAACCCAGAAACAGAGCAAGGGATTAGGTGTTTGTTGTAGCTACTGGACAGTATAAAGAAAGAGAACATTGATAAGAACAAAAACCAGCAGGAGACTGGTTTCCTCCTAGCATGGATTTTAAAAGTCAGACAACATCATGACCACAGCACATGTGGTAGCTCACTCTGCTGTGATGGGAGCCATCCCAGTGCCAGACGGGACCTCCAGTGCTCAGCTGCCATCTGGGACCTCAGCACAATGCCATCGCACCCTGCTTACCCACACAGGGGCAACTCCAGCACAGAAGGACCCTAACACCTTGTGCAGTGCAAGCAAGGCTGCTCTTCCGTGTGTTCCCCACTCAACAGCAGCTACCCACAGTGACAGCTGAGCATTGTGTCTGTCAAAGGGTAGCCTTGCTCAGGCAGGCATTCAATAAAACACTGCAATGCAAGCGGAACAACTGACCGGTGCGTGTAAGACATCTCATGCTGAGCTCTGTTAAGAGTCCCTCTGTGCACAGTGAGGCTGTTTAGCTCTCAGCTCACGGCTGTTTAGTTCTCACCTCCTACCTCTGGGGGTTTCATTCAATCTTCACATATATTTAACACTACTTACAACCATGACACCCGTATTTTATTTTCAGCGTTTCAAGTGCACTTAAATACATATGCCCTAAGAACACACAGCAGAAGTGGGATGACAGCTTTTGTAAGTGAGAGAATGCAGCAAATTAAATCCCCAGACTATTGATGATGTTTATATAGCCCACAAGTAACCACAAAGTCAGGTCACTGTATTTAGGAAAGACACAAAGAAAGCAGAAAATTATTTTAGATGCTTCTAATATGCAAGGGATTGTAAAAAAAAAAAACCAGCTTTTTTTTTTTTTTTTAACCTGAGACACCCTATTTTTTAATTATTTTTTTGAAATTTCTCCCATATATATGATAAAAGTTTTTCCATGTGGGATACACATCCCTCAGCATATCTGCTTGGAACAGAAAGTTAAGATGGGTTTTTCTCACACTTTCACAAAATATATGCTGGGGCATGCAGGATTTTCATACATACCTATGTGTTTCTAGAGAGGTGCATTTGATGTCATCTAGAGTAATTTTCAGAAAAAGAGGACTTTGAAAAGAAGAAATAATGTGGAAGAGAGCAAGGATGACCTGACTGGTATGACTGAGATCACCCATTATAGTGAATTACTGTTTCCAGTGCTACAAATAAAAGAATAATTGAAACATTAAACAGAGACTTTGTGATCCTCTTTGTCTTTCCAGCAATGCCTTTGGCCAGTCCAAGCCACATCTCCAGTTCTGCGGGCATCTAAATCTCATGATGAACACCTGAATTCAGTACTTCTTGCAATGGCATGCTAGACTCATGTCATGCTAGAAAGCTATGTTCTTTCAATCTTCTTAGAAAAAGGTTGGATAAAACATTACATTTGGATGTTATTTTAAAGAGAAAATCGCTTTAGTGTCTCAACAAAGGTTTTTACTTTTGGTAGAAAGTATAAATTAAATTATTTTGTCAAAAAGTACGCATGTGAAACTTATTTGTGAATGCTTTTACAGGGCCATGAGGAATTGTGCTTTGACTGATTTATATTTCTCTTTTCTGCTGGACAATACCTCCTCTGAGCTGCTGGATCCAAAATCACCAACCCAATGTGCGCCACCTCATCTCCTCAAGACATAATGACTGCACAGGAAAGAGAAAATATTCTGCTAACTATTTAAGTGTGCAGTAGCCCAGAAAGGAAACCAGAATCTGTACACCCCTGATGCATTATTCTGATGATACGGCACTTACGAGTTAAAATAGGAGTTCTGGGGTTAAAACAAACCAACCAACCAACCAAATAAAACAAAACAAAAAACAGCAGAAAATTTGGATATAATGTCTTTCTTTTTTTTTCTGTTGAGATTTTAAAATGGAGCATCCATTTCTTGTCTTCCCTCATCTTATCTTGAACCTGACACATTTTGTTTCTCATCCTCTTCCCTTACTAACTTAGCGCTTGAACAGCCCGATTGAACAGCTGCAATACAACCTTAAGATACTGAGGAAGTTTAATTCCATTTCTACCCTACAATCAAGCAAAAACCATATTATTTGTCCCATCATGCTCATAATCACCAGTTCCAGGCTGTTTTCTCCTGACTGACAGGATACCATAAAAGCTGAGTTGAAGATACAGAGGCTGCTTATCTTCTGGCTTCAGCTGAATCTCTAAAAAGACTTTTTAGATATATTTCAAAGGAAATTTCTTATTCTTCTGTTTATGGCCCTGCCTCTACCTTCTGGCATCTAGCCTCTTTCCTACAGATGACCTGTTCAGATATAACTAATGATGCCGAGTGATTCATTTCTGAAGGTGCCCAACAGCTTTTTCCCACAGGGCACAATACTAAGAAACTGCTTCCCACCCACTCCAAGCAGAGAAAGCACAGAAAAAAACCACACACAGAGAGCTGCCAAGCTACAGTCAGTTTAGCTACAATAGCTAACTCTCAGAGCTGAATTCCACTGATGGTGAATTTGCCATGCTGAGTGTTAATTTAAATCTTTTTGCACCCATACAAAACTGACCAGGCTTACTAAAGAGCCACAGAAACATGATAAATATGTGGGGGGTCCTGTGGACTCATGGGCAAGGGCTGCTTCTTTTCAAAGTGGATCTGTGTTTAAGAAAGCATTTCCCTGGGAAAGCAGGTCTTGCGCCTACCTTTCGCAAAGGCTTCAGTTTTGTCTCCATGATGAACTCATACTTGCACAGTTCACAGCATCGTGTATCTGAGCTCTTGATCCACTGCTGCAGGCAGGCTTGGTGCACAAAATGAAGACTTCCTGTGCAGTGACAGGGTGTAATCAAAGGGCTCTCATCATCTCCTTCACAGTGACATATCCTGAATCAGAAGAAAAGCTGATCATTAGGAGAAGAGGAAGCAGAAAGGATGTGGAAGAGGCATGTAATACCTGTGATCACACATGGCTGCCCATTGAGGATCCTGAGACATACCTATCAAAGGAATGTGTTCCATAAAGGAGCTAAAGTAAAGAATTCCACTGCTGTGCAAGCACATACACAGGCACAAAATAACTGGGCACAGACACTGCTAACTAGAAAGCCACTTTCTAACAGATGAGGCAGACATGCGTAATCTGATAGAAATGCTGTATCCGAAAGAAAAAACAGGGTAAGAAATGATGCTTCATCTAGAGCAACAGCACTTAACTGAAAATAGATCTGTATATCTTCAATATACAGATCAGATAGCACTTCCCAAGACATAATATGCACAGAGGGCTAAAGCTACTCATGGATTACAATCTGAAATGAAAGATAAAACAAAATTCCCCCCAAAATTGTGAAACAGCCAAATCCAGTATCATGAAGGGTTAATTTAGACAGCCTGGATTTTGCACAAGACAAGTGATTATTTCTAGTGCCAACTGCTAAAAGACAGATCCACACTGCAAAGCTACAGCACTGAATCTCCCCAGACTACACCTACTGTAAATGGATGAATGGGTTTTCCCTCTAATTCTTACTTTGCTAATAAGGCAGCATCAGCTCTACAAAATTCCCCATTTCCCTCACAGCCTAATCATGCAGACAGCGAGGACCCCCTTATATATAGTGTTACTACCAGATGCTGGCATTTGATTTCCAGCTTCAATTTATACACGACCCTTGGATTGTATGAAACACCACTAAGCCCTTCTAACCATGTGGAAGAGGTCATGAATTGAAATGGGAATGGTAAGGAGCTCAAGGAATGAATACAAGTTACTAAGCATATGTGAAGTACATCCCGGCATGCTGCCATCCCTGTCTATTACTGAAATCTCTTACTGATGTGTAGCATCTTGCCTCTTGCAACCTTGCTGATAGCTGGCAAGTGGAAATGAAGGAGTGGGTGGATTACAGTAGTGTCTTGTCAGTAGTTGATGACAAGCCAATATGGAATGAGATTTTGCTGGTAATGAAGGGGGGAATCAAATAATATTGGCAATACTAACTAAGCCAGCTTCAGAAACTGCTGTCAGCAAGGAGAAAGATCAGGATAGTAAAATGAGAGATAGAGGGATGGGATGTTTGCTCTTGTACATGGCGATGCCTGCTCCTCAGTCACATTTTGGAGCTGGAGCTGTGGCAGACCTGCAGACAAGTCACCATGAAGACAGTCCAGAGTTGCTTGCTCCCACCACCTGTGCATGATTAAATCCTCTGCAGCTGGAACAAGCATACCTATTCTTTTTGGATCTTGCACTATGGATATCATGGCACTCAGACCCTCATTTTGACTAAGGCATCCAGAAAGCCCTTTACTATAGAAGAGCATGGTGGGATACAAACTGTTGGAGACATAAAAAAATACCTTAGGCTCTATCAACCTGATCTCAGAAGCAATTTTCAACCTGTTTTCCTTCTGACTCTCCACCCTCCGACCAAACCAGCAATGTCTGTCAGGACAATACCTGGCTCAAGAAAAGCCAAGACATGTTCAGTTTGGCCTTTTATATGTGTAGCTGATTCTCTTATGATACTCCCAGTCTGGGCAATGATAAGAGAAAAATACCATCTCAGAAACCCAAACATGAAACAAATTGCAAGAGAATTTATTTGACTCCAGAGGAAATTATTTTGTTTAGTAGCCTTGTTAAGTGCATCAGAGGCATGGAGGACAGCAGATAGAAGGCTGCATGCTTCAAATTGCACATATTAAAGCCAGGTGACAGGGTGAAAGAAAAGACAGAAACAGCACAAGGGCAAGGAAAAGCAGAACAGTCACCACCACACATGGGAGGGCTCAAAGATAGGTGGTTCTCTGGTAAACCAACCTGCAGGTATCCCCCGATGTGGACACAGGGGACAGAGGGGGGAATTTTTCTGAGAGGGGGGAAGGGCAGTCAAGGTCACTGTCCTTCTCAACTGAACAGAGGGGCGCCCGCTGCTCTTTTGTTTTTAATTTTACTGAGGTGCTGTCCTCAAAGACGTCATCATCTCCCATATCATCAGAGCAGAAGTCTGTGCTTTCCACCAGCATGCTGGAGGATTTGTCAGCTTGGAAGTGACTGGAATAGTTCTCCAGTTCGTGGAACTTATGCAGGCTGCTGGTGCTGGAGGTGTGGGAGAAGGAAAAAAGGTAACGCAACAGTTTTTTGCTCCTTGAGGTGTCATGGTCCACTTTGTCCTCCAGCAAGGGGATATGTACAGCGCTGTGGTTCTCTGTTCCTCCCGATGCACTCGAGTAGTTGGAAAGGGAAGGGATATAGGAGTGCTTAGAATTGGTAAAAGAAAGAGGCCTGAGATTCAGTGGTTTCCTCTCATTAAGATGAAATTTGTTAATCCTTAAACACTGCTCTTGAGTCGGGGTCAATTTGCCTTCTGAGCATGTTCGGTCCACATAGTCAAAGCACTCACTCGTGCTCTGCGCCTTCTGGTCCACGTCATTGAGAGACTTGGAGAATTTCAGAGTGCAGATGGGCTTTACATTCTTAGCAGACCTGAGTGCCTGGCCCCGATCCTGCCCACAGGAGTTTCTCTTTGCTGCATGCAACTTGTCCTGACAGATTACTGTCACAGTGACCCCTTGTGTCAGAGGGCTCTGGCAGTGAGGATTTCTCAAGACAACAGCAGACTGCACTGGACTGTGATGACAACACTCAGAAAACACTGCACTGGAACTGCATGCAGAACAGTGGAATAAAAGCACAGAAAGTAAAAAACAATTACAAAAGAGAACACACATAATTAAAAGTGAAGAAATGAGAAATTATGGCTAGTGTGAGAATGGCAAATGTAACAGGGCCAAACAGTCAGTGGGATTTGACAAAGCAGTGTTAGACAGCGGCTGAGTCAAACAAATAGGATGCTTCACATAGGCCCCCATCACTTACTTCCCCATACACATGCTTTCCAGGTTTTGTTTTTTCTTAACTTGAAGCTCGCATGAGCCTCACTGTGGCCATGCAAACACCACACTTTACCTGCAGATGTCCTGGTTGGATGGTGTAACAGAAGTCTGAGAGAAGCTGTGAGGGGCAGAAATAGAGGTTGGACTTCCAGCCTGCAGTGAAAGTAAAATAAACAAACAAACAAAAGCAAGTCACGGGTCAGAAGAGTTTGGTATGCACAGGAATCACCTTCAGGCTCAAACAGCATATAGAGTCAGATATCACTCTGCATCAGATATTCAAGGAAGTGGCTTTATTTGCAATGGGAGGTCACACACCCTCATCCATAGGAAAGGTAGTAATCAGAACAGAAACGTTTTTCCGCAAGGTCAAATGCAGCCATCTCTGGAGCAGAACCTGCCAGCTGTCAAACACTGCACAGAACAATAGCTCAGGAAATGAGCAACACTAAGGTAATTAGAACAATTAGGTGGAGGTGTATGTATAGACTAGTCGGAATTTAACTACCACATAATAGCTAATCCTTCCACTTACAATGATGACAAGAGATTAGAAGCTTGGGGCTTTTTTCACAAGACAGAGCCCTCAGTAATACAGTAACTTAAACACTACTTGGGGAGTTATTTTCCTTACTAGCACGCACACAGGAGCACCATCTGCCAAACCAGACCATTCCTTGAAGTACTTTGTATTCTGCAAGGCCTTTCATCCTACTCTTACTCTGACAGGGTCTTCCACCTACCTGGAGAAGAGGTGTGGCAGCAGTCACGTTCATAAGACCCAACAAAAGCACACTGAGATGTAGAATAACTGAATAATTCAGAATTCAGCTGAACTAACCCCCCCCCCCAAAAAAAGAAAGATAAGCTCTTGGCATATTTAACACTTTATAGACAAGTCTCTAAAATCAATATGGTAAAAACAATCATTGTCTCAGAGTTGGGGCATGATGGGCTATATTCTATGGGTCACAAACAGAAACTTCTTGACTCTTCCTAGAGGTTTTGGCAAGAAGGACACCTGAATTGATAATCACATAAAGAGAATTTTTAAACCTGGTTCTCCCATGTTCCACAGCTGCTGGACAGGCTGGGCTGCTCACCCTCTGCTGCAAAACACTACTTGCATTTCAAAATTCAAACAAAGGTTTACAGCTTGCTTGATCTACAGAGCGAAGTCTGAAACCCTGGAAGGAATAATGCAATCAGAACACGAGTGTCAACACCATGCTGGGCTGTACAAAAACCAGCAGAGCCAGCACAGACCTGGGCCAGGCAAGTGCGCAAAGACAGACTAGGAAAGACTCATGTCATGAAAGGTGTGTTGCCAGAAGCATGCTGTGCCTAGCCCTGTACTTCAGCTGGAGATGCCAGAGCTAGCTCAGTCATCACTGCTTTGATGATCTCTGGTCATGGTGCAACACACACACACACTGTATCTCTCTCAGACCTCTTTAATCCTATAATCACTTTATTAAAAGACTCTATGGTACACTTAAACAAGGCTGCTGCAGGCTTTTACACTCTCACAGCAAAAGCAATAGCTTGTCACACATTATACTCTTCTTTGTGAGAGAAGACAGGCATACCAGGACACACACTACTTTGTAAATCAGATACAACCATCATCTTCCATTTTACAGGACTCATCTGTTAAGGTTTTGTTTCTGTAGCCAACAGCACTACCGAGACCAATGTATCTGGCCTCACACTGGGATGCTTCAGGTGCACTGAGCCTGATGAAACAGGTATCCATTTACAGGTGGGTCTGCAAGAGACAAGAGCAAGACTAAACACACGCCTCTTGATCCATAGTAAGCCACTGTAACTTATTTCCCATCCTGCCCAGCTAGGTACACGTATAGAATAACAAACAAGAGATTGAGCCAGAAAGCAAACTGAACTATGTCATGACTGTAACAAAACAAATTAAAGACTTACACATCAGTTTTTTGCTTTATCCTGTAAATTATGGTTCTTTGCATTTTATACCACTTGCACAAGCTAACAATACAGAATGTTGATCATACAGTGAGGTGAATTCAGGTATTACTGGAAAATTTAATTTCTATTTGATGCTTAACCTCTTCTAAAAGCAAGAACATCTCTGACTTCAAACCTTGTCTTTTCAAAAGAGTTTGTGCAGTAATTATTTTCTTTTTTAAAGGCTGCCAAATTAGTGAAAGACCTGACACTAAAATCTGCTGCTATAATCATGCAAATGAAAATTAATAAGACTTGATTATTTAAAAAGACATATTTAGCAATCTTCTGAAAACAAAATATTGAACCAGTAAAAAAGCATGTTGCTTTCTGCCATGGAAAGAGAGCCAGATATCGTTGGAACCAGAGTCACAAATCAATTAATAAATCTGACTCAGGTTTTATGTTATAACCAAATCACAGAAGGTAACCTGCTTAGAATAAATATAATCCCTCCACACCTTCATTTTAACAATGAAGCCTCCAAAAAAAAAGACAGCGGTATATACGATGTGACCGTGTAAAATAGCAGATGACTAGATTCAATGATCCAAAATTTCCCTTCTGAAACCATGTTACTGGTTTATTGATCCAAATGCTTAGCACCAAGATGATGTCAAAGTCTCACCACTTGGGAAATCAAAAGGCTGGGACAAAAAAAAAAAAAAAAAAAAGGCAGAAATTAATTTGCATTTCAAGCTTACTACTCTGTTTCTAGATGCCAGCACTGTTCAGAGCAGCTTGCAAAAGCCCCACATCTGAGGCACATTTCCTCTCATCTTCCTGCTTCAAAACAAAAGGTCCTTTGCTCCACCTTCATACATAATGCAAATGCAACCAAAATACGAGCAGAAGTTAAAACACTTGGAAAGGCACCACAAAGTAGAACACCAAAATATTAGAGGAAGTTACACCCCACCCTCGTTTTAAGCTAATGTAAGCTGTGGCTACCAACAACAGCCATGGCTCAATGGTTCAATGGCTTTTGCCAAGTCTCGCAGCCCATCCTCTTTTCCTGCCATGTTTTTTGCTCATGAAACTATTTACAGAGCTGCCTTGCAAATCAGATTAGGATAGCAAGGTGAGGTAAAGCTAACCACTTCTTTTACCGAGCTGGTTTAATTTAGTCAGTCACTTCCCTAGCTTCAGCGGCAAGAGGACCATTAGTTGGTTAGCGCAATGAGCCTCTAATAGAGAGCCACAACTCACTGAGAAGAGCACAGCAAAAGGCAAGCTGCTGCCAAGAGCCCAAGAAGTTCACCAGTTCTAGAAGCAGAGTGCATGCAACTGATGCTGGCCAGTCCACACAGCTTTCCTGGGTTTAATGACTCAGGTACAGAAACTATCAGGCAGAGAAGTGCCAAAGTAAAGAAGAAACATTGGCAGCCTTGATCAGAACAGGGCAAAGAAGAGGCAATGTGATAGGAGAATGCAACAGAGAGGTGGATCCAGCTAGGCTGGAGCTCTGATGTTGGTCTCATGCAATACTCAGCTCTGATGAGGCTGCAAAAATAAGCAATCAAAGCCTTCCTCACTCTGTAGCTTCTGGCATACACACCATCTTTAACACCCCAGCAGCACTTCTGGCTGAACTGGCTACTTACGATGGCATCAGCAGTTTTAAAGCACTCCTTTGCCATAGGAGGTTTCTGCCACGCACATTATGTGATGGGTATCCTAAGCCTTGACAGCCTGAATTCAACCCTTCTAACACCAGAATCACTTGCTGAATCTCTGTAGACTTCCATGCCCTTCACATGGAGGAATATCACCTCCAATGACAAGCCTTGTAGCTATGTGCTAGTCAGTTACCCTGTAAAACCTGACTGGTTGCCTAAAATAGCTCAGGACTAAAGGTCAATAGTTAGTTAATTGTGTATATTTACATTCCCACCTAATGCAATTCAGTGAGGTCACAGTACAGCCTTCTGCACTGGTGTTTAGATAACCAGTGATTCTGAAGATAGCAATCCCTGGAAGCTCTCTGGAGGATTGCCATCAAGAAGGTATATATACACACACATATATATATATCTCCATCATTTATATATATATACAAATGTATGCGTGTGCATGCCTATATATACATGTACATACGCATATATATATATACATGTGTGCTGCCATAGGTGGCTGTTCTCATTCTGCCCCCACTCCATGAACAGTGTGATCTGTTAGTGAAAGAACCCAGCCTTTTCTGATTACCTCCTTGTGATTACATGCTGCACACTAAATCAAAAAACCCACCCTGCCTCAGAAAATAAAGTCATCTTTGAAGTGAGCCATAGTGAACACATCAGTGACTTAGGTGTACTCCAAAATAACCTGCTTATTTGAGATGGCACTTCTTGGTATAGTTGCTGTTGTCTCACTCTTTGCTGCACTTCAGTACTAGCAATTACACCTTGTTTTAAAGAACAGGGCCTGTCACATTCTAAAAACCTTATTAAATTATTCATTAAAGCTAAGAACTTAGAAACAACTTTATTCCAGAAGAATACCTCCACTGATTGAAAGTCTGAAAGAAGCAAAGAAAGGTTTTCCCCCACACCTGCTAACTTCATCATTTCTAGGTGCCACACTGAATAGAACCAATACTCTGGCCCTACTATTTGTGCTACAAATGCACCCAGAAGTACCAGCTAAGCACCTGGAACGAACATGCTAAGCACTATACATATTTAATGATACAGCAAACCTTTCCTCTTGGCAGACAAAGGATTAGAGAAAAGCAGCACAGTTTAAAGTCTTTTACTCAAGAGGAACTGCAGCACAAAGAGCTTCAGAGAAACACAAATTTAGTGATACAGCAAGATACCAAACACTCCACAATCTAAATTTCAACCTGGTATTCTGATTAAAGGTTTATCTTTATTTTACACTGCGATGAACCCATTTCAAATGCTTTTCTGCTTGGCAAAATAAATATATAAAATAAGAGAGCAGTAAAAATCCTGAAAAGTAGCTAGCTGCATCTGATGCTTAAAGATGTCTCAAGCACCACTAGACCATTGCAGCAGTTTCTGTCTGCCTCTGTTCCCCATAACAACCACAGGATCACAGTGATGGGTCTTCTCCACTGAGCCAACTCAAATCATCACCAGTCCCCTGGGGATTAGAGACACAGCTAACCATAGTAGGTGTTAGCTAAGTGGAGACATCTCCCACCACTGCTCCAGAGCTGTCCTGTCCCAGGCCCAACCAGTTTTCAAGGCCTGCTACCTTTAATATTCCCCCCAACCCCCAAACTCTGTAATCTCCATGCACTGTGATGCTTTTTCAGCACCAAGATCACAGTGTTGCTATCTGCAATTGGCCACTGGGACTTCTGTTTGGATCAGATTTGTCTTTCCTGGTATTAACACATCACAACGTGGCAGCAGCACAGGGGAAAGGCAGAATCAGAGGGATGGTTATCACACCCTATGTTTTCGAAGAACTCTTTGCCAGAGAGCTATTTTCTCTCTCACACACAGATCCTATTTAAATGTCTGTAAGAAGGCAAAGCTGCTGCTAGACATGGACATGGCTGGCATTCATCTTGCATTCTACATCTCCAGAGGCAGCATAAGCCCGAGGCTCTGCTCCCCATTTAGCTTACACCACAGAAACCAAGACCAACCACACCATGCCTGCTGCTTTGGCAGGATATGGGTACAGACAGTGATTTGGGAAAGAAACAAAGTGATGAGTGCCTTGTGAGAAAAGGCACCAAGTGCCACTGCAAGGCTCTCCACAGCCAACCCAGCTACTCTTCAGATAGGGAAAAGGACATCTACAAACAGACCCAGGGAATCTGCCTCTCTTTGTGCCATACCTGCCCCATACATCTCCCCTCCCTCTGCCAGTGGCAAAATCCCTTTGCTCCAACCCTGTCTCACTCACAGTGGCAAAATTCAGTTCTGTCTGCTGCACTGAGAAGTCCTGAGCCTGGGCTGAAGTCAGGCAGGGAGGTGTTGATTAAACCCAAGGGACACATCCATCGTTTCTCCTGAGTCACTGCAGAATATATGCAATTGGCTGGCTCCAGCTATCCACCAGGATGCAACATATTTGTGTTCTTACGCTTTCAGCGGGTGTTGTATTCCACGTACACACTGGCTATGGCTCTGCTGAAGTGCACTGCAGCTAGAAAGTCTCCAAAGCTCACCTGTGGAACGGACCTGGCTGTTCCACTGCGTGCATGCCAAAGGAGGGCTCTGGCTGAACTAGCACACCCAGGCAGCAGTGCAATGAGACCAACCACCCGCGCCGAGTGTGCTAACTTGACCCATGGGACAGCCAAAACAGGCCATCTACAGGCAGACTGGATATTGTGAAGGGTAGACAGCCCTGCTGACAGGCTGGTTTTGAAAGCTTTTCTCAAATATGGCAGGATCAAATATCAGTAACTTCTCCATTAAATTCTTCCTACCAGAATTGTGCCAATTTGATTTCCAGTGCATATTAAAATCAAGTGTCTTCAGCTGGGATAAATTAGCATTATTAGAATGGAGAGTGGTTAAGAAATCTGGGGGGAAAATAATCACAAAAGAAAAAAAGATGACATGGGAGAGAGGCATCTAAAATTTTCATGACCGTCGACTCCACCATACAATTCTGGCAACAAGTCAATAGGAACCAGCAGTCAGCTGCTAGAAGAACTTTGTTCCATACTTTATATAAGGTATATGACTATAATTAGCATTATGTCTAGAAACCAGAAGCGAAGCTTAAGTCAGCTTCCCTTCATTCTCCCTAAGAAAATTTAAATGAGGATTCTGGCAGGAACTTTCTCTAGATATACCAGAGCCAAAGCTGATATAAAAAGAAGGCTATCTATCCTTTCAAAATCTCCCTGTGTGCAATTCAACCTGCCTGTAGCACAGGATTAATGTTGACTAAACCCAGTAGCAACTGCACAGGTTCTGCAGAAGAAAAAAAAAACAATAAAATAGCCCTCTGACTTTAAAGTCTTCCTCAAAACACCTTGAACTGACTGCAGGGACAAAAGAGGAAAGGAAACACCTAAAGGTTTGTCTTTCACAGGGTACCATCATACCTATATGAAGTAAGAATCCAGCCCCAGGAGAGGGGATTTATCACAGCACAAGGAGAAAATCACACTCCCTATGAACACAACTGCATCATGCCGCAACATGACATTACTTGCTCTTGTGGGCACAAAAAAGAGCATACCTTAATCTTCACACTATACATTTTTTCTTGTCTTTTCCTTTCCCCAACAGCTCAGTAGAAGAAATTTTTATTTTTTTTTAAGCAACTTCTCTTTTCCTACCCCCAGGCGCATGCACCTGAACAGAACACCTCCAAGCAGCAGTTCCTTTCTGTTAACCTTGGTCATCTGATAGACTAAAGGACAGCTAAGCTCTGTGACTGAAAAACATGGACTGGTTTTCTACAGATGAACACTCACTGAATCCATCAAAGCTCCAGGCAACAGTGGACGTGTGTATTCATATGCTTTCCTAAATCTGTTCCAAGCTGATGAACAGCCTAAATGGATTTTAAATTTTATAGCAAGCTTAGGCTACCACTTTGCATTTGCACTGGCTGCCATTCAGCCTAAGAATAATTTAATACTTTACAGTGTGCTTCTGCTCTAAAGAAAAAAACGTACAGAAAAGACAAAGCATTTAAATTTTTGAAAGAATGCACTTTTAATTCCTTTGCTGTGATCCCAGTATTAGCATTTTCAAAGCTTACCCCTTAGAGGGCCATGAAAATGAGAGTACAAAATGCTTCCCCACTACTCTAAAATTAGCCCTCTGGAGCAATCAGATGATCAGAACAGCACACATATGACCTGAAGAGATTTCCACACATCACAGTTTCAGGCTATATCAGACACTTTAAAGCTAAACAATATCACTAATTTGAGGATAACTGTTTGCAGAGCCCCTTTGTTAGTGACCTTGTTTAATCTGCTTGCAAGCACAATTCCTTTATCTAAGAGCAGAGGGTATGAATTACCACCACTGTGAAAATCCCTTTTTCAGTTGCTTTTGGTGACTAGCTGTGTTTCAGGGTCAATTTCATCTACATTTAGATGATGAAACTTCTATAAGCTCAACTGTTTCTCTGTTTGGCTTGTATGATGGAAGGCACCTACCAGTGAATGGTGGCTTCTTGGGAAAAATGCTGGCTTAAGGTAAATAGTTCATATGGGGAGCTGGGCTACATACCCCTGTGCCAATACGGGGTGTTCCAATCAGCACCACTGTGATTCAATGGGTAAGTTAGGAATCGGGCCATGTCCCCTTCCCATGAGTAGATCAAGTCAACCTGCCTTTAACATTATTTTTTTTTCATTTCAAAACAAATATAGAAAAGATTCCCAAAATTCAAGCATTTCATGTGGAGCAAATTTAAAAGGAATGTTTGAAGTATACACACCAAAACAGCAAGGAAGGGCCTGGAGACATGCCACATCCCCCAGTGTGCAACAGACTGCACAAAACCTAATAGCACCATATGAAGATCCTCCTGCATCTTACTCGCTACTCCTTTTTCTGCTGCTTCTGGCCTCCATCCCATGCCAAGTATTCAGGTGACTGTTTCTTCTTGGCCTAGCCACATGTGCTAACATCTCTCCAGCCTCTCTTAGCATCTGTCTCTTGGAAAACTGCCTTTTTTGCCCCTTCCTCTCAAGGGACGCTTCCACCTGGCCTGAACACTTGTGGTCTCTGGAAAGACCCTGCTACCTCTACCAGCTGATCCCATTTTCAGTGGCACCATCTGTCTGCCTCCCTCCTTGACCACTTTTAGCCCTAAGGCATTGCTCTCTTTGGTCACACCAAGTAACACAGCATCCTCTCTTGGCTAGAGGATGAGTTCTGACTCAATCCTCTCCACCTGTATTGCACTGTGCAACTGAGAGCAGTGGAAAGATACACAGTAATAATCACAGCAGGTTCATAATGACTTATCAGCACCAGAAAGGCTTTGAATCAAGTATCAGTGCCAAGTATTTGTAGCAGATTTGCAACAATGGTATGCTGTGAGCTAGATTTAGGTGGAAAAATAATAGCTGAATGTGTCATTTGCAGGAAGCGTGATCATTATTTCTGTACACACACCCCCCAACATATCTGGAAATGCAGCATATAACTGATGAAACTCAATTTCGGTTAAATAGCTATTCTTAGAATGGTGTACTATCAACAAGCTCTGGGGGTTTCAGAAGGGGCTACACAGGCAGCCAAGCATTTCCATACTATCTCCTTCACATGTATTCAATCTGCCTTATTGGCTAGGATATTATACTATTCTAAACGAAAATATAAGGCACTTTCTTATTAGACGTCAGAGCTGATGAAAATTTTTCCATGTATTTAAGCTTCTGTGCAGCATCCCACTACTGTAACTACTATAATTGGTTTCGTCCTACAAATTGCTTGCAACAGCTAACCCACCTGTAGACTGCAAAATGAAGTGTTGCAGCTTAGCACTGAGCTGCCTGGATGTGCAAAGCAGCATTTTGTATGAGATAAACCAAGGGGCTGATCAGAAGATACTTTTTCCCCAACTGCATAACAAAGCCATTGTGCTTCTGATGTGTCCATTGGCTAATCTGAAGTGTGCCTGTATACTGAATGGGTAGAGCATCAAGCATCACTTACAAGATACAGGCCTGTAAGAGCAAGAGCAAACATTTAAAAATACTTACACAGTCACACCTTGACAGCAATAGATTTCATGGTTCTAACAATAATTCAGTGTTGAAATGACAATAAAATAATAAGCACACATCCAATACATATTACAGGATGCACAGCTACACATATCTTAGAGAGAACAAGTCCAGAGGAGGGCCACGAGGATGATCTGGGGACTGGAGCACCTCCCGTATGAAGACAGGCTGAGAAAGTTGGGGCTGTTCAGCCTGGAGAAGAGAAGGCTGCGTGGAGACCTCATAGCAGCCTTCCAGTATCTGAAGGGGGCCTATAAGGATGCTGGGGAGGGACTCTTCATTAGGGACTGTAGTGACAGGACAAGCGGTAACGGGTTAAAACTTAAACAGGGGAAGTTTAGATTGGACATAAGGAGGAAGTTCTTTACTGTGAGGGTGGCGAGGCACTGGAATGGGTTGCCCAGGGAAGTTGTGAATGCTCCATCCCTGGCGGTGTTCAAGGCCAGGTTGGACAGAGCCTTGGGTGACATGGTTTTGTGTGAGGTGTCCCTGCCCACGGCAGGGGGGTTGGAGCTTGATGATCTGAAGGTCCTTTCCAACCTTAACTATTCTATGATTCTATGATTATGTCAGATAACTGATGGTATAAAAGAACATACTTGAGTGATGGTTTTGGAACGATTTTCTCCCCAGGATAAGATCTCAGACATTTGTCATCTATCTTGGTCCTACCAAGCTAAGGAGGCTGACAGTGTGAAAGAGAAAACCTACTGTAGCTTCCACTTCATTTGACCTGTAAAGAGTATCTACAAAACACCAGAGTTCTAATGTTTCAGAAGCAACTATCAATAACAGACAGGCATAAGAAGCATTTTTTTACTGGTCGCATTACCGCATATATTACCCCAGTTTTGAAATGAAAGAAAACCCCGTATCCCCAAGTTTATCAAAGACTGAGTTCATATTGAGGAACATACCTTTGAAATGTTACTAGAGCGGCTCACAGAATGTCCCAAAGCCTTCTCATTCTGAAAGAGGAAGAATAGGATCGCTGTTAGCAACATTGATCAGCAGCAACAAATCAGAGTTATGAAGATATACTAAAGCTGGTATTAGAAACAAAATTCCACAGAGAAAGACTTACAGCTGTTGCTTTTAAGGATGTTGCTTCTACTGACATGAACCTGATTTATGCTAATCACTAAATTGCTGTGTTTGCTTAACAAGATATTACCTTGCAGAAAATCACACAGCCAAGACAAGTACAAAGTGAGAAATACTAGAACAATGATTTATTCTCTCTATGAATACTGCAAACCCTTTTCTCAGATGAAGCAGATATGCTTCATCTGTATCTAAAGGCAAACATCCAACCACTAAAACTGAAAGCACTTGCTTAAAGAAAAACAGAAGTATCACAGTGATGTCCGGAAACAATTGTGAATAACCACATACATGTCATTTCAGGAGACAAAGCAGAATTACTGAGGAACATCCTTTTTACCAGAGAACTCAGAATTAAACTGGAAGATGAAAATGCAGAAGATGCAATTCTCAAAACTGGTATCACTGATGACTGTATCTGTTACTCACTTTTCAGTGTGCACACCGTGACTAGTAAGGATGACAATCTTACCTCCTACCAAAATAAACTGTAAGTTTCACTGAGGTATTTCATTCTTTAAGGGTTCCTTGTTTCTGAACATCAGTTTACCGTATGTGTAAATGGACAAAATTGCTCCATTGGAAGAGCCTAGAAATTGCTCTGCAAAAACTTTTTTTCTTTCCTAAGCAAATATTATGAACAGGGGAAGTCACCACATTTGGTTACAGATCAGTACGTATGTTCTTTAAGTCTGGGAAGCCAGGATACAAATTGGTTTGAGATTTAAACCTTCCGAAAAAAGGGTAAATTTAGTACTTTCTCCTATGGGCTCTATGCTCAATAAGTGATTCTAGAAGTGCATCTTTTCATCTGGGATTTTAGGAGCCAAACTTTTTCACCTTTATTCCTGAATAAATTTAACTTAACAGAGACACTTTGACAGCACTAGCTTCCAGTTCTCATTGGCACTGACTGATTATATAGAGCTTGAGATCAGTAGTCCTGTATATTAACAAATGGGGACATAAAAAATCCCAAACCCCTTAATAGTCAATTGCTGTTACTCCTATGCTCAGCCTTGGGCATAGCACACTGATTTCAGACCTCCTGCCTATGGTTTGTTCCAATTCAAGTGACCTTCAATAATTGAAGCCCACATCAAGTCAGACCAGCTGGCTGGGTACCTAGCCACGCCCACACTTTCAGATCCATGCACTCTCATACACTTCTTCCTATAAGACATGCCCAGAGCAACTTCATAGCTTTGTGTTGAGAAAAGGCAAGGCAAAAAAAAACTTCAGCACGTGCTTACAAAAGCAGGCTGTCCTTGCGTTATATATATATATATATATATATATATATAAATACTGCTTGTCTCTCAGCACAGTCCCAGGCACTGCCTCAGCTGACAGATATAAACTGTACTTCCTCCCTTAAAAACTCGAAGAAGCAAATATAGAATTCTGAAAACCTCTGTATGTAGGAGTTTGAATACCCAGAAAACAGTAAATTAATATTTCAGAAGAACAGAGGAGAAGCAACCAGGGAACCCCCACCAATTTTGAATGACGGACAACCTAAAAGTCAGCACGGATCAGTTTAAGGTCTGGAATAGTTGTGGCCTGCAAGGCTGAATTTTGCCTCTGAGATGGCTATAAGCTTTTGTTACATAGGTAACACTATTCCTGGAAGAGAAATAAACACGTAAACACATCCAAAAATATGGACATGAGGCTTACATGAAGTTAACATTAGATGGAACTACTGCCAGAACCAGTAGGGCTAAGAACCAACTCCAACCATAAGAGAAGGACCTAGCTGATTTCATCAAAGGCAGTGTAACTATAGCAACAGGGAAAAAAAAAAGTTCATTGAAGCTTCAGAAGTCAGAATGAAGAAAAAGGAGTCAGAGACATGTTCTCAAGCTATGATGATAAGAGATCAACACAAGCTGGCAAGCACAAAGACCTGTCATTGCCTATACATGTGGTGTGGGGGGAAGCAGGCTGTGCTTGGCCTCCTAGGGACATGTAGAAGGTAAACAAAGCAAGACGATGTGAGACAAGGGAAAATGATAGTGAAGAGTGATACCCGTGGCCAAGAAATCTGCCTGAAGCAACACATACAGCTCCACACAGGGGCCAAGTCTGAAATCCAGCCATAGGTGTCAAAGACTTCTAGGTGAAATTCCTAAAGACAAAAATAAAAACAGCAGAGGTTTCTTCACATTAACTCAACACTCCCCAAATACTGTTGTCTAGCTGAAGCAGCAGCCTGCAAGGGAGTATGACTGAACTTACACAGGCACCTGTGTTGAAAAGGATGCGCTAAAATTCAATAAGCACAAATAGGCTGGATGACAAGACCTGTATTTGTACAGCATGGTAAATGATGCAGAACAAACATACTCTTAGCTGTGCCACAGAAACTAGCCTTTCTGCCTCTGCTCGCAGAACTGATTTTATCTGATGGATGCCAGGAGCCTCTAAGAGAAAGATGCTCATATTACCTTTATTGATATACTGTTGGAAACATACCTATCAAAGGTTTCAGTCAGTAGACGACTATAAACAACTGCTTTTGTTACTGAAATAGTGATCATTTTTAAACAACAAAGTGGTCTTGAAATACATTCCCTTAAGGATTACAGAATGCACACAAACATGTAATTAGGTAACTGTGATATTCCTAAAGGACTCCTAGCCACCTAAGTGCTCTTTCACATCTCAGATTCTTTATCACACAAAGCTGGCACATCAGTAAGATGAACTGGAAATTCACTACAGCTTTAGCCCAGATTGGCCAAAATCTGTACTTTAAAGAGCTACTTACACCAAGCAGGAAAAGCATCAACTCAGCCATATTTTTATGGAGTAACAACTGACCCCACAGCCACTACCAGATCCAACAGAGACTGGCAAATAATGCAGTTTTCAGTCTGGTTGTCCTGTCAACTGCCAAGCAGCCCCATAATCCAGATAAAATTGTTTCAGCCCTTGGACACCAACTGACCCTGTCTTAGCCTGCCCTTTAATCAAGGACATTGTTTGAAACAGCTGCCCTAAGTCTCAGAGTTTTGTACATGCATACTTTAAAAAGTGTTGGGCTGAAAAGAGATAAACAACTGAACTGTGCTGTACAACAGTAATTTCCAGTTCACTTTTGACTACACAAGCAGCACCCCTGCTGAAGAAAGAAAATACAGTCCTTTCTTTTCAGCGACTTGCAAAGGACCAAAAAAAAAAATTTATTTATTTTTTTAATCCTTAAACAACAACAGGAACATCTCTCAGTAATACAGTTCATGAAGCCCAGCTGGGCTGCTTAGCTCTCTTTTACAAATAAAATAATAAACATCTATTCTTCAGAAAAAAACACCATGGAAGCCATTAAATAGAGCCAGTGCTTGCTGGTGTTTCCCATGCTGATAAACTGAGGATGCTGTTATATTTTCCAGTCATTAAGATACAAAAGTGCTGTAAGCCATGGAAGGACTCCTGGGATAGGTAGATTTTAATGGCAGGCACAGTTACTAAGTGAAGAATAAATAAACATTATTTTAAAGGCAAACAAACAAAAGCTCAATTTTCATACTTCATTTATCACCACTACATTCATCCTGGGATCTTTTATCAATTATTCACAAATTAACACTGACATAGAAATGGTTTCTGTTACAGTACTATCACTACCCAACAAATAAATGTCTTCAGAGGTGTTCTCTAG